GAACATTCGTGCGTTAGTCAAATCAGTAGCATATTGCCCCCACCACACCCGGATTCGAACCTTGAACATTCGTGCGTTAGTCAAATCAGTAGCATATTGCCCCCACCACACCCGGATTCGAACCTTGAACATTCGTGCGTTAGTCAAATCAGTAGCATATTGCCCCCACCACATCCGGATTCGAACCTTGAACATTCGTGAGTTAGTCAAATCAGTGGCCTATTACTCCGTTACTTCCTGAAGTGTTAGTCATCGCTCCGACAGCAAAGAAAATGGACCACAACGAACCAAAGAGATTCTGCACAAACCAACAGGCCAAGCGGGCAAGAGAACTAGAGAGAAATGTAAGAAGATCTTTGTGAGAGCTCTGGTGGCCATGCACGGACGTTTGATTTATTGACGGCTTGCACGAGAGAGGAGGGCCACATCGCAACGAGAGTCTGGCCTAATGTCGTCTGGTTGTATCAAGTGTGGCGTATCTGTGTCCGCCCGGGCTCTGTGTCCGCCCCGCGCCTTGCATTAAGCACTTCCGACCGCAGACGTTAATGTTATCAGACTTCCTGGCCCTCTCCGACCCCCATCCTCTCCGCTCCAGAATTCTCATTTCTGTATTCTTGATTCCTCCTCCCTCATTACGGAGGCTCTTCTCTTATATTCCTTTATTCCTTCGTTTTCTATTTTCTTCTCTTTTTTTTTTCTTTCTTTCATGTTCTTTCCTTGCTTTCTGTCTGCTTCTATTAACCTCTCTCTATCTATCTCTCTCTCTCTCTCTCTCTCTCTCTCTCTCTCTCTTGTCTTACAATCTCACTCCATCTCTCTTATTCCCTAAGTGCTTGCGTGTATGCCAGTTTTTTAAAACACACGTAATTAAGTAAAATCTAAGATGTAGTCACTTTGACTCCCAGAAAGCTAGAAAGGATAACCCATGAAAGTTACAAAGTCGTCAAGAGAAACGAGAAGGAGAAAACAGTTACGACAAAAAACAAGCAAACAAACAAACGAACGAGCAACAAAAATAAACAGTTGGCACATCCATGTTTTGTATTTCTTCTATTCGTTTCTTATGGAACAATGGCGGAAGAGGCTTGAACATGATTTTAATGTTGTTGTTGTTTTTTTAGTTATGGGGAATATTCCAAAAAAAGAAACCCCAACCAACAAACAATAGTTATCTCACACTACGTTGTGAAAATTAGCAGTATATTATCATTTCTAACTTATGTTGGGATGTTACTACTTTTGCTTCTACGTTATTTTCTTTATCTCTTTCTGTCCACTGTTTTGGAATAACCTCAGATGACCTTGAGACATCAAAGAACAGCTGATAGCTGTTAAAGACTGCACGACTTTAAATTAATCTCATAGTTGTCCCAGATTATATGTGGCAAAAGAACAGGAAGAATGTATATCAAAATACGTACATGCTTGCTTTTACTTTTCCCTTCCTCTGGTGATAGATATGTTATATTGTTCCAGGACCTTTTTAACCCCATCCAGCCAGATCATTCTTGGTCTTGCTCTTGATTTGAAGAGGGATTCTCGCCGCTAGTTGTTTCTGGGGCATTCTGGTTAGATGTCCAGACCATTTGACTCTTGACGCTCTATGAATTTCATTACTGGTGATATCCCGGTTTGTAGACGTATTGTTTAGTTTCTTATGCGGTCTATCCTTATTTTGTATGCATTGATTTTTCTTTGATTGCCATTTTTGGCACTGGTATATTAAAGTTGGTATGAACAAGCTATTGATGAGCTGGGATTTAACTTCGGTCGGGATGTTCATGTGACTGAGCAGGGGTACTAGCTGGTCGGTCACTGCATTTGCCTTCATATTTTTTGTTTCCATTTCTTTGCCCAAACGATCATCTTGAGTGAAGATGCTTCCCGAATATTTAAATTCCTCTACTTGTTGGAGTTGCGTTCCGTCAATAAGGACGTTCAGTTTTGCTGCGTTTCTGCCGACCTTCATAACTTCTGTTTTTGAAGTGGAAATTTTCATGTTTAGGTGTTTACATTCCTCATTCAATTTTGAGGTGTGTTTTTGTAATTCCTCTTCATCTGTATTTAATATACTCTGGTCATCAGCAAATAGAAGCTTGTTCAGTTCAACGATGTTGTCATTTGCTGCTTTCGTGATCTTATCCGTGTAAATGATGAAGAGAAGCGAAGAGAGAACACACCCTTGTCTCACCCCTGCCTTTTCTGAAACCAAGCTAGGATTCACTGAGTTGAGTCTCTACAATTGGTCTCATTCTCATTTCCAGTACCTTGGCAAACATTTTACGCACCTGGCTGAGATATATCACAATAGATTTACATATAATACATATTTGCTGTCTTCCCTGGCGATACTTTCTTGATTTTCAGGGGGGGGGGGGGTGAAACTTGCAAAACGTGCAATGTATCAGAACTCTAGATACTAGGATAAAGTCTCAAAGGCTTAATGTGTGTTATTAAAACATATATTCCAAATTGGGGCATTGCTTATTATTCACAGTTCATTGCTGAACAAAGTGTACCACTTTTCTCCCCTGTTCGTTCTTATCAAAATAAAGTTACGCTTGTGTAGTTTTGTCTGTCATTAAAACAAACGCACTTTAAACAAAAATCTTATAGCAAAAGTGAGATCTTCCTTTCTCCTTTCAATACAAATTTTATTGCAACTCTTACAGGTCATAGCGACCATTATGTCTGCTCTGGAAACAGAGCAAAGGCAAAGTTGTGGCACAATATCAAATCATTATACAAGGATCAAAAACACAGATTCATATCTATCTATCTATCTATCTATCTATCTATCTATCTATCTATCTATCTATCTATCTATCTATCTATCTATCTATCTATCTATCTATCTATCTG